CAATCCTCCCACCTTGACATATAAAGTATTTAAAACTGAATTGTAAACCAGGTGTGGTGACTTATGCTTGTAATCCCAGCTCTTTGAAAGGCCGAGGTAGTAGGATCACTTGAGCCAGTAGTTCAAGACCAGCCTGGACAACCTAGTGAGACTCTGTCTCTATAAAAAACAATAATAACAAATTAGCCAGGCACGGTGGTGCACACCTGTAGTCCCAGCTTCTCAGGAGGCTAAGAGGGGAGGATTGCTTGAGACCAGGAGTTTGAGACCAGCCTGAACAACATAATGGGACTCTGTTTCTACAAAAAGGTAGAAAAATTAGCCAGGTGTAGTGGTACAAGCCTGTAGTCCCAGCTACTCAGAAGGCTGAGGCAAGAGGACCACTGGAGCCTGGGAGGTCGGGGCTGCAGTGAGCTGCGATCACACCACGACACTCCAGGCTTGGCGACAGGTGAAACCCTGTCTCAAAAAAAAAAAAAAAAAAAAAACCTGCAAACTCATGTTTCTTGAGAATTTACTGTAAGCTAGGCACTGTCCTGAGGGCTGGACACTTAAATCTTATAACCCCAGGAAGTAGACCTTACTCTATCCCCATTTCGCAGAGGAGAAAACTGAGGCTCAGAGGGGCACAGTCACTTGTCCAAGGGGTTCTAGTTAGGACTCAAGAATATTTCATGTTGCCAGGACCCTCCAGGCTTCTCTCCAGCCTCTCTCTCTGCCTTCTTTTGGGGGTCTAGGATCCTCTCTCCTGCACCTCCCCACTTCGCTGGGTGTCAGTCAGAGCTTAGAGGGAAGGGCCGTACAAAGTCCAGCCTTGTGCTCACGGCAAACATGTTTATCTGATCCTAGAGCCAGGCAGCCCGGTGCCTCCCCTCCCCCACCTGCAGCCGTCACCCTCCCGTGCCTCTTCCCTCCATCCCTGCTCTCTCCCCCAAAGAGAACAGGGTCAGTCTTCCTCTAACCAGACCTCTCCTGGGCTCAAACCAAAGATTTACTATCTGCCCCTGTCCACCTGTTTCTCTCTCTCTCTCCCCCCCCTCCCTCCCTCTCCCCTAAACCAGATCAAATTTAAGCCGAACTTGAAAATAAAATAAAGGCCAGCCACCCTGCACAAATACATGCGCAATCCTTAGAAACAGAGGACAGGCTTTTGAAGGTGAAAATGGACAGCCAGCTGTTACAATGAGCTTCTACGAATGTTCTACTTTTTAAACAGTTCCCAGTAGAGTTGGGCAACAAATCCACAACAAAAAAGTGAACTTTCAGTGCCAGTTAGGACAGAGAGCCAAGAGGGCTCGTCTTTCCCTTTTCTGGGAGAAGCCACCTGCGCCACTTTTTTCTAGAACGTACTGAATCAATGTCTCTCTCCCCCCACTCCCAACCTTTCTATCACTCTCTCTCTTCTGTGTGTCTCTTTTTTTTTTTTTTTTTTTTGAGACGGAGTTTTGCTCTTGTTACCCAGGCTGGAGTGCAATGGCACGATCTCGGCTCACCGCAACCTCCACCTCCTGGGTTCAGGCAATTCTCCTGCCTCAGCCTCCTGAGTAGCTGGGATTACAGGCACGCGCCACCATGCCCAGCTAATTTTTTGTAGTTTTAGTAGAGACGGGGTTTCACCATGTTGACCAGGATGGTCTCGATCTCTTGACCTCGTGATCCACCCGCCTCGGCCTCCCAAAGTGCTGGGATTACAGGCGTGAGCCACCGCGCCCGGCCTTCTTCTGTGTGTCTCTTACACACACACACACAGAGTCTCCATGGGCCTGACTGTTTTTGAGGGCAGCTTCTTCAACTGTCCGGGCTCAGAACTAAGAGGCCAAGACCGGGCACGGTAACTCATGCCAGTCATCCCAGCACTTTGGGAGGCCGAGGCAGGTGGATCATATCAGGTCAGGAGTTGGAGACCAGCCTGGCCAACATGGTGAAACCCCAGGTCTACTAAAAATACAAAAATTAGCTGGGCATGGTGTCGCATGCCCATGGTTCCAGCTACGCAGGAGGCTGAGGCAGGAGGATCACTTGAACCCGGGAGGTGGAGGTTGCAATGAGCCAAGATTATGCCATTATACTCCAGCTCCAGTGACAGAGTGAGACTCCATCTCAAAAAATAATAATAATAATAAAAAGAAAAGAAATAAGAACTAAGAGGCCAAGTCTCCAGGCATCTCCTGCTTTGACTCTAATGGGTTTGAGAGTCAAACCACTGTGGGTTCCAGTCCCATCACTGCGACCTAGCCACACGCACTCTTGCATGACCCATCTCTGCCCGGCACCGTGGGGTAAACACACCCCTACCTCACACTGCTACTGGGAAAATTAAATGAGCTTCACATAGGGAGGCTGAACGTAGGGCAGGGCCTGGCGTACAGCACGCGCTGAACTCACGGAACAATATTGTCATGATCATCATCTTAAAACAGCCCTGGAGACCCTTGGCCTCACACAGCAGAGTCGAGGAGAGGTGAAGACCCACCCACATCCTCCTCTCCTCCTACCCATTCCAGGGTCGATCAGACGTCCAAGGCTTTGAGCCTTCTGCCCTCTGGCCCCTTGGGTTTCAGGGCATGCAAGGTTGTGGCGTTCATCTCCACATCTGGAGAGGGAGCTGACTTCTCAGTGTGGGGGCTTTAGAGCTGGCCTTGATTCTTTGCTTAACCTCCGTGTGCCTCAGTTTCCTTATCTGTGAAATGGGGCTAATGATATTTCAGACTTCAGAGATGGCTGGGAGGAAGAAGTGAGCTTAGGGCATTTCTAAGCCGTTGGTGAGGGCCAAAGCACTGCATGGAAGTGAGTTGATGGTCAAGTTGAACAGCAGGAATGACTGGGGCCTCAAGATTGCAGTATGGAGCCTGAGGTAGGAGGACCTGGGACCAAGTCCTGGCCTTCCTTCAGTCCTTTGGAAGAGTTTCACTGGGTAAGGTACTGCCTGTCTGAACCTTAATCTGCTCATCTGTAAAATGGGATCACTAATAATAAGTGCTGTGTATTGCACTTACTACATGTGTACTCTAAAGTGCCATGCCATTTAACCCTGTGGACAAGGCTTATTGTCACCTCCACCCTGCAGATGAAACTGAGGCTCAGAAAAATAAAGTCCCCTGCCCAAGCTAGAAAGGGCAGAGCTGGGATTAGCGTGCAGGCGGGCTGGCTTTTGTCAGGGACATCAGATCCTCTGTCTTCCCTTGGCTACTGTCTTCCTGGATCTCGGTGCCCAGGTGCTGCCTGATGGACAGGATCAGAGAGCTTCAAGGTTGCAGTTTGAAGGCCAGGTGTGGTGGCTCACACCTGTAATCTCAGCACTTTGGGAGGCCAAGGCAGGTGGATCAACTGAGGTCGGGAGTTTGAGAGCAGCCTGACCAACATAGTGAAGCCCTGTCTATACTAAAATACAAAAAAATCAGCCGGACATGGTGAGACGCGCCTGTAATCCCAGCTACTTGGGAGGTTGGGGCAGGAGAATCGCTTGAACCTTGGAGGTGGAGGTTGAAGTGAGCCGAGATTGCACCGTTGCACTCCAGCCTGGGTAACAAGAGGGGAACTCCATCTCAAAAAAAAAAAAAAAAACAGGTTGGAGTTTGAGCTGATCGAAGACAGAAGGGACCTGGGAGGACACCCAGGAAGGAACCCAGGGTCCCAGTTTCTCCCTTGGCCACGTCTCAGGCTGCTGAGCCCTGGCTAACAGGGCAGCGGATGTCCTCAGGGCCTCAGAGAATCCTGGTCACTCATTCACTCCTGCGGTGCACCAGCCAGTGGGCTGGATGGAGGGTACACGTGGTGAATAAGGCAACACAGGTCTTGCCCTTGAAGAGCTTCTATTTTCACGGCAGGAGATAGAAAATGGATAAATCAGATGATAACAAGTCATGACAGGGAGCAAGAGAAAGAAAACGACAGCAGTGGAAGAGTGACTGGAGGCGGGGCCCCCTTTAGGATGGAGCAACCAGGGAGCTGCAGGAGAAGGAACCGGCCATGGGAAGATCTGGAAAGAGGTTCCAAGCAGGAGGAAGAGCACGTGCAAAGGCCCTGGGGTGGGAATTGGCTTGGGGTGCTGAGGAACAGCAAAGCCACAATGACTGCAGCAGAGTAAGCGAGGAAGAGAAAGACCTGGGCAGAGATCCGGGAATTTGGTGGGTGGAGGGAGGGGAATGAAACCAAGGCAGGGAGTTTAGATTTTATTCCTTGGCCAGGGAGGAAAACTGAGGGTAGAAGGAGAGAACAGACTTGCCCAAGGTCACGCAGGGAACTAAGGGGGAGATCTGAAGAATGAGCTCAGGTTCCTGCTGTAGCCACAAACATGGGGTACCCCAGGGAGGCCTGGCACCCAGGACCCACCCAGGCTTCTTCCCAGACACAGACTTCTCCCAGGAAACAACTTCTACTAGACGTTCTGCTTCTGCACCGTCTTCCCAGCCTTAACCTCCCCGACGGACCGGCCCTTCAACAGGGGTCCCCTGCCCCTCTCTCCCTGGCCCCTTCCCCAACCCTGAGGCTGGAGGCCCCACTTTTTTTTCACTCAGGGTGTTTTCTGATCCCTTTTGTTACCTGAACAATAAGTAACCCAGGTAGTTAGTTATAAACTCTGCAGGAACAAGGAGCTGGTTGATAATTTATAGCAACATCTCAAATTTAAATGGAAAGTAAATAGCATGCTGTTAGCATTAAAGAAAACCCAATCGGGGCAGCGGGAAGCACTCCAGCCTCCTTGCAAGCTTGGGGTGCCTCATTCTCTCCAGTGCCCCGTCTCCCAGCTGGGTCTGAGCCCCCGCCCCCCAGCTCTTCAGTTCTGCTTCTCCCAGCTGCTCTCTCCATCTCCCCTGGTGGCCCCTCTCTTTCTCTCTCTACCGTATCTGCCTCAGCTTCCAGGTCTCTACTGGTCCCTAGGAAGCACTTTGACCTCTGCTTTCCCCTCAAATGCTGTGGATCAAGCCTCCCCCAACCCCGCCATCCCCCACCCAAAGGGGGCTGCTGACCGAGAGGGCTCATCAGCCAGGTAAGAAAGCATCCCCCTCCCCCACCCTCACCCCAAAGCCCCCATTCCCATCTGGGGCCCCATGCAGGTCAGGCCCAGCCCCACCCCGTCCGGGTTGCCTTCGCCCTGGGTCTGGGATGCCTGACTCTTTGCCCCTCCCCTGCAGCTCTTGAGTCCTTTGCCCTCCTCTTCCTGCCAAGTCAGGGGGCCCTGGCTGCTCCCCTGCCCCCTGTCCCGGGGCCCTCGGGAGGCTCCCTGAGGCCTCTGGGAAGGCAGGAGTCTACCAGCCCTCCCCCACCCCAGCTGGGATCAGGACCTTGGACAGAAAAGAGATGGGCCCCTTTGGAGCATCTTTGGGGCTACTCTGTCTCTGACTCCCTGGCCACCTCCTGCAGGCCTCTGCCCCCCCCCCCCCCCCCGGTCATAGCAATTGACAGCACCAAACAGTAGCTGTGGGCCCTCAGTTGGGTGAACTTAGTCAAGCTCCGTCCCCGCTCTGAGCCCCAGTTTCCGATTTGTGAAGCAGAGCCATCAGTAGCTTCTGCCCGGGGCTCCTCTCAACGAGAAGGGAAATCATTCCCGTGAAACCTCAGCACAGCGCCCAGGAAGTAGCGAACCTCCCCAAGAAGGCGCTGTAGGGTAGAGGTCAGGGAGCCCCTGCAGCCCCCAGGCCACCCTTCCTTCTCCCACACCCCGCCCCCCCCGCCCCTACTAGGTGGGAGGTGGGTTGGCCCAGATCTCTCCAGGCCACCATTCCTACAAGTTAATGATCACAGACCTTATCAGAGCCTTTCACCATTTATAAATTTATAAAACAAAAGAGAAATAATAAAGCATGTGGGTAATTAGTAACTAGGTCAGCTCTGCTGAGGAGAGGGGCGGCATCGAGCTCAGGACCCACCCAGTTCTCCGGGAGACGGGGAGTCCACCAGCGGATGGGATGTGGAACGGGGAGCCTCTAATGGCGCCTGCTGGTGAGGTGGGGTGCCTGTGGCCGCACAGGAAAGGGGACCAGCTCCCACCTCGAGGCTCTGTCTGCCTCAGGTAAGAAGGATCTGGGCTTCTCTGGCTGAATGCATGAGTCCCTGGGAAGCCAGGGAAACCCCCAAAACCCCAGCTTCGAGCCCTCCTCCCTGGCCGCGCTCCCTGGCCCCCAGAGCCTACCCTCTGAGGACTCAGGGCAGAGGTGAGGGTCTGGGGAGTGCAAATGATCATAGTGGCTAAAAATTTCCACCACCCCCCGGTCATCCAGGCATTTGATTTGGGAATTCACCCACCTTTTCTCCCGTCTTGGACCCCCGGGAAATGTCCCCTCTTCCCAAGGACTGGGCTGAAGTCTTGGCTCATGGGTTGTGGGACTCTGGAGAGGAGCAGCTCAGGGCTGGAGGCTCAAATGTCCAAGAGAGGACCCCGGGCTCTCAGGGGCCCTGACTCCACTGCCGGCAACTAGGCTCAAGGCTGAAGCTCATGGGGACTCGACTCAGAAGTGGGGATGCCTAGGAGCTGAGGGGGCCCCTCTAGGCTCTCCCTGGGCGCTGGGACGGGAAAGGGCTGCTTACTGCAGAAGGGCCTCCACCACGGCTTTCTGGTGGGCTGCCTCCTCGGGGCTGAGGTTCTCCAGCTCTTTGAGGATGGGTGGCGTGAAGTCTTCCCCATCGTCGTCCGTCTCGTCCTCGGAACCCCGAGTCTCTCCCAGCCCATTGGGCAGCTCAGCCAGCTCCCCTCGACCACCGCCGCATGCCTCCCCCTTGTCCAGAGGGCCATCTCCAGCCAGCAGGTAGGGCCCCGGCTCACCCAGCGCCTGGATCAGTGCCTCTTTGCTCAGCCCTGACTCGAGCAGGGCCGCCAGGAGCTCCGTCTGCAGCTGGCTCAGTTTAGAGACCATGGCTCGGCTGCCCCGGGGCCACGCGGCCTGGGTCCACCACGCCAGCCGCCTGCCCCACCGCGTGGGTTGAGTTTGCCTGCTGGCCGGTGGACACAAACCAAACACCTTGCACCCACTGCCCCCCCAAAATCCCACTAGCCAAGCCCTGTGGGCACCCCCAACCCCCAACCCTGGCCCCAGCGGCCAGTGAATCAGGGCCCCTGCCTGCTCTGTTTACATTGGAGCTGGGGAAATTCTCCAAGGTTCATATTTATCCGTGTGCTTAGCGAAGGGACTGAACTTTGGACTTCAGCCCTGCAAAGTGCAGGCCTCATGGCAGCAGAGAGGGGCAGGGAGCTATGGCCTTCCATGGGAGTGGGCAGAGGGGAGGGCAGGGGCAGCGCAGGTGAGGGGCCCTGAGCAGCTGGGATGGAAGGTGCTGGGAGTGGGGGAGGCCATCAGGCGAGCAGCATTGGGTCGTACCCCCAAAAGAACCTTGTCAGGGCATCAGGCTGAGACAGGAGAGCAAAAAATGCTTGCTGCCGGCCAGGCGTGGTGGCTCATGCCTGTAATCCCAGTACTTAGGGAGGCTGAGATGGGCGGATCACCTGAGGTTGGGAGTTTGAGACCAGTCTGGGCAACATAGTGAAACCCCATCTCTACTAAAAATACAAATTAGTCAGGTGTGGTGGCACACACCTCTGATCCCAGCTACTCAGGAGGCTGAGGCAGGAGAATCCCTTGAACCCAGGAGGTGGAGGTTGCAGTGAGCTGAGATCATGCCATTGTACTCCAGCCTGGGCAACGAGAGTGAAACTCCATCTCAAAAAAAAAAAAAAAAAATGCTTGCTGCTTAAGGAGAGCAGCCGCAGCAGGGAGCTGTAGGCAGACAGCTGGGCTAGCTCTTCTCAAGGGCAGAGGAAGCGCATGGCCATTTTGGGACCCTTCCACCCCACTCCCGGCCTGACACCAGGCCTCCCTGTAGGAAAATATATGTTAAGACTGCCATGTGCCGAGAACAGTGTGGGGGTCTGTAAGCACGACTTCACTTCATTGCATCTGCTACCAACTCTGAGAAGGTACCAGGATTATCCCCATTTTATAGGGGAGGAAATCGGGGCTCTGAGAGGTAAGCAACGTGTCCAAGGTCACACAGCCAGCAAGGAACAAGACTTGCAAGGTGAGACTGAGTTGAGGCGAGTGTGGCACTTGCCCTGGGTGCCAATTTACTTTGTATTTTTTGAGCTAGGTTCTCACTCTGTCACCCAGGCTGGAGTGCAGTGGCTCGACCACGGCTAACTGGAGCCTCGACTTCCCGGGTTTAGGTGATCCTCCCGCCTCAGTCATCCAAGTACCCAAGTACCGAAGCAGCTGGCGCTGCAGGCACAGACCATACACCCCCTTATTTTGTGTGTATGTTGTGTGTGTTTTGGGGTATGTGTGTTTCAGGTGGAGTCTCGCTCTGTCACTCAGGTTTGCAGTGCAGTGGAGTGATCTCGGCTCACTGCAACCTCTGCCTCCTAGGTTCGTGATTCTCCTGCCTCAGCCTCCCGAGTAGCTGAGGTTACAGGCGCATGCCATCACACCCAGCTAATTTTTTGTACTCTTAGTAGATATGGGGTTCACCATGTTGGCCAGGCTGGTCTCAAACTCCTGACCTCAAGTGATTCACCTGCCTCAGCCTCCCAAAGTGCTGGGGTTACAGGTGTGAGCCACCGTGCCCAGCCTTGTGTGTCGATTTTTTCTGGAGATGTGGTTTTGCCATGCTGCCCAGGTTGGTCTCAAACTCCTGGGCTCAAGCCTCAGCCTCCCAAAGTGCTAGCATTACACGCGTGAGCCACCGTGCCTGGCAGCCCCAGGTGCAAATTTTAAAGGAGTGCCAAAAAACCCAGTTATCAAGGTAAATAACATTCTTATGCACTATATTTTTAAAATTAAAATTAATGCAAGACCCCAAAGAACTTAAAACAGATGTCTACACAAAAACTTGCACATGAATGCTCATAGCAGCATTATTCACAAGAGCCAAAAAATGGACAAAGCATAAATGTTTATCACCTGATGAATGAATAAATAAAATATGGCACAACCATGCCATGGTACAGACACGTGTGTATATGTATACATCTTTTTTTTTCTTTTTCAACTGCAATAGAGAAAGATTTCTGTTGCTTTCTTGTGGTTTGAGATGGAGTCTCACTCTGTTGCCCAGGCTGGAGTGCAGTGGTGTAATCTTGGCTCACTGCAACCTCTGTTTCCCAGGTTTAAGCGATTCTCCTGCCTCAGCCTCCCAAGTATCTGGAACTACAGGTGTGTACCACCACGCCCAGCTAATTTTTGTGTTTTTGGTAGAGATAGGGTTTTACCATGTTGGCCAGGCTAGTCTTCAGCTCCTGACCTTAGGTGATGTGCCCACCCCAGGCTCCCCAGACTGCTGGGATTACAGGCATGAGCCACCGTGTCCAGCCAATGCAATGGCATATTATTTGGTCATATAAAGGAATGGCGTTCCCATACATGCCAGGGCACGAGCCTTGAAAACATGATACTAAGTGAAAAAGCAGCCTCTAAAGACCACATCGCGTCTGGGTCCATTTATATGAAACGTCCAGAACAGGCAAATCCAGATGGACAGAAAGGCGATTCGTGGTTGTCAGAGCCTGGGTGGGAGACGGAATGGGGCTGGCTGCTCCGTGGGTGCTGGGGCTTCTCCAGGATCATGAAAATGTTCTGTAATTGATTGTGGTGATATCTCACAACTCTGTACTAAAACCCTCTGAATTGCACATTTTAAAAGGGCGAGTTTGATGGTATGTAAATCAATACAAACATTGTTTTCGCTTTATTGCTATATACTTATTGTATGATTTACCCATTTCATGTGTGTTTTCTGAGATTTGTTTTTATTTTTTATTTTTTCCATTTTTATTTATTTTTATTTTTTGAGACAGGATCTGGCTCTGTTGCCCAGGCTAGAATGCAATGGCATGATCTCAGCTCACTACAACTTCTGCCTCCTGGGCTCAAATCATCCTCCCACGTCAGCCTTCCGAGTAGCTTGGACTACAGGTGTTCGTGACCACATCCAGCTCATTTTTTTTTGTACGTTTGGTAGAAACAGAGTTTCACTATGTTTCCCAGGGTGGTCTCATACTCCTGGACTCAAGAAATCCTCCCACCTCAGCCTCCCAAAGTGCTGGAATTATGTAGGCATGAGCCACCCTGCCTAGCCTTAAAAAGTATTTTTAAACTAATGTAAAATAACCTGTGATAAAGAAAATAGACAGGCCTTGCCCTCACCACCAGCCAGGTGTGGCTACCAAGCATTTGAAAGATGGTTTATGTCACTTGTTGAAATGATAATTTAAAAAAATATATTGAGTTAAATATTTAAATTAAGGAAATTTAGGCTGGACACAGTGGCTCACACCTGTAATCCCAGCACTTTTGGGAGGCTGAGGTGGGTGGATCAGGTAGGAGGTCAGGAGTTCGAGACCAGCCTGACCAATATGGTGAAACCCCATCTCTCCTAAAAATAAAAAATTAGCCTCAGGAGGTTGAGGCAGGAGAATCACTTGAACCCGAGAGGCAGAGATTACAGTGAGCCAAGATCACACCACTGCACTCCATCCTGGGCAACACAGCAAGACACCCTCTCAAAAGAAAAAAAAAATTAAAAGTTAACTTTTGGCTGGGCACAGTGCCTCACGCCTGTAATCCGAGCACTTTGGGAGGCCGAGGCAGGTGGATCATGAAGTCAGGAGTTCAAGACCAGCCTGGCCAAGATGGTGAAACCCCGTCTCTACTAAAAATACAAAAATTAGCCAGGCGTGGTGGGGAGCGCCTGTGATCTCAGCTACGTGGGAGGCTGAGGTAGATAATTGCTTGGGCCCAGGAGTTGGAGGTTGCAGTGAGCTGAGATTGCACCACTGTGCTCCAGCTGGGCGAGAGAGTGAGACTGTCTCAAAAAAAAAGTTAACATTTAGAATAATTTTAAATTAGATTTAATTAAAATTAAATTATATTATTTTTATATATGTTAATATAATGTTATATTTCATTTAAAATAATTTGGCTTAAATTAAAATTTTAAATATAAAAATAACTTTTTATTTTAAAAATTAAAGAACTCCTAGTCTCAAGCAATCCTCCCACCTCAGCATCCCAAGTAGCGGGGACTACAGGTATGCACCATCATGCCCAGCTTGCTCATTCATTCATTCATTCATTCATTCATTCATTTGTCTTTTTTGTTTGTTTGTTTTTTGAGACAGGGTCTCCTCCTACTGCCCAGGCTGGAGTGCAGTGGCACAGTCTTGGCAAACTGCAACCTATACCTCTGCGGCTCCCATGATCCTCCCACCTCAGCCTCTGCAGTAGCCGGGACTACAAGCGTGTGCCACCCGGCTGGCTAATTTTTGTATTTTTTGTAGAGATGAGGTTTTGTCATGTTGCCCAGGCTGGTCTCAAACTCCTGGGCTCAAGCAATCCTCCCACCTCAGCCTCCCAAACTATTGGGATTATAGACATCAGCCATCTCACATAGCCGGTAATGTATTTCATTCTGAGAACCACTCTGAATTAGGAACTGTTATAATTCCCCTTCTCCAGGGAGGAAAGAGAGGCTCAGAGAGGTTACATGACTGCTCAGAGTCCCTCAGAGCTGGGCTTTAAGTCCCCCTGATCCAGGTGGGCTGGCTGTGCAGGACAAGTTGGCAGCCCTTGCCTTAAGCAGAGTGGTACCCTCTTTCATCCAGTGCGTTTTTTTGTTTTTTTTTTTTTTTTTTTTTGAGACAGTCTCTCTTTATCGCCCAGGCTGGAGTGCAGTTGGCTCACTGCAACCTCTGCCTCCTGGGTTCAAGAAATCCTCCTATCTCAGCCTCCTGAGTAGCTGGGACTACAGGCGCATGCCACCACACCCGGCTAATTTTGTATTTTTAGTAGAGATGGGGTTTCACCATGTTGGCCAGGCTGTTCTCGAACTCCTGACCTCATGTGATCTGCCCTTCTCAACCTCCCAAAGTGCTGGGATTACAGGCATGAGCCACCACGCCCGGCCAAGTGCATTTTTTTGTAAACCCCCGTTCAAGTTGCTTTGAAGTTGGGCCGCTTACTGCTGGTGACAACATTCTCAAGTACAGGCTAAAGGACAGGGAAGAGGCTGTGTGCTGTTCCTTCGTGGCTTTGAGGCTCTCCTCCTTGCTCTCCTTGCTGCCTGCAGCCACCCCTTGCTGACTTTCCCTTTCCAGGGAACCAGAGGGAGCAAGGAGGGTGGGGCCTGACTCCTGTCCCCAGCATGTAAACTCATGAACTGCTGGGTCCTCAGGCAGCTAGGTGGCTGAGCATTTGAGTCTGGGACAGCAGGTGGATTTGGTGGGAGAGGGAATGACAGAGATTGGGGAGGAGCCTCCAGAGAGTCTAAGGAGAGAGGTACACAAGCAGAAAGTTCTAGCCCCCAGCCTGCCCTTCCCCCACACTCAGGAGCCAAAGCTGAATTAACTCAAGGTCAGGAGTGGCATTTGCATTCTTGAGAATCACTGCAGAAAAGAGCTGTAGTCATGGCTGAGTGGTTAAGGCAACAGCCTAGGGAATCACTGAGGGAAAAAAACGAATATTGGCTGGGCATGATGTCTCACGCCTGTAATCCCAGCACTTTGGGAGGCCAAAATGGGCAGATCACTGCAGTCAGGAGTTCAAGGCCAGCCTAGCCAACATGGCGAAAACCTGTCTCTACTAAAAATGCAAACATTATCTGGGCATGGCGGTGGGCACCTATAATCCCAGCTACTCGGGAGGCTGAGGCAGGAGAACTACTCTAACCCGGGAGGTGGAGGTTGCAGTGAGCCAAGATCTCACCACTGTGCTCCAGCCTGTGCAATGGAGGGAGACTCCGTCTCAAAAAAAATTGAAAATTAAGAATTAAACAGGTATGTTTAGGAAGTGCAGTAGGTAGGCCAAGACAACTACTAAGTATGTCCTAACAACTTAGTAGCTGCTTGAAAAAAATAATGCACATAAATTAAAAGAAAAAGCAATATTTCGCTCATTCTTAACTACCTGTAAGGATGCACTAACGGGATGCGTGTGCCTGCTGCGCTGTCCACAGCTGCTCAAACCTTGAAATTTGATTGGACGCTACCACCCTCGTTTCCTGTTACACAATAACTTTTGCAAGGCACTTGCTTTTTATCACAACTGCCATGCACTCGGCTTCACAAAAATCTTGTCATTGTGGAAAGGAAGGTCCTTCCATCGAACATTCAAACTTAATTCCCCCGAGCTGGTAGTTTGCAAGGTGTCCAGCAGGTGTCGCTGTGTTTCCTCCGCAAATTCTGTAAAATATTCTGCTGTGTCCTGGGACACAGTAGATAGCCAGTAAATGGTGGCTGTGAGTTTTATCGCAGTTCCCTCCTACTGGGTGAGCAGCTGTTTGCCAGGTTAGAATTCGGGTAAGGCACAGGCTTCCCGCTTGGTCTTAGCAGCCAGCACAGGACAAGTGTCCCTTCAGCCAGTCTCAGAGCTCTTTTGCAATTCAACTGACCTTTGTCCTTCAGTCCAGACAATGCCCCAGGGCCCTCCTGCATTCAAACGGACGGCTCTCCTTCTCACCCTCCTACCTTTTCAACTTTATGGACAGTAATACAATTTTCTCATCCGTTTTCTCATTTAATATCTAACAGCTTCATGATATCCCCATTTTACAGATAAGGAAACCAAGGCATTAAGAGGATAAGGAACCTCATCGGCTAAGGCACATTTAAGATTTGAACTTGGATCTCCGTGATGCCAGAATCTAAACCTTGACTAAATATTTGTTACTATTACTTTTGTCGTTGTTCTGGGTAACTCCAACCCTCTGCTCACTGGCCTCGTCACCTCCGTGCTGATTTCGCAGGTGAAGACACTAAGGTTCCAAGGGGCTAGAGCACAGTGCCTGGGTTTGAGCCTTGCTCTGCCATTTACCAGCCATATGACCTTGGGCAACTTGCTTGACTTCTCTGTGCCTCAGTTTCCCCTTCTCTTGGGTTAGGAGAATGAATAAAGTAATATCCACAATGCCCAACACCCTGCAAGCGGCCAGGTGCTGTGGCTCACACCCACCATCCCAGCACTTTGGGAGGCCAAGGCAGGCGGGTCACTTGAGGTCAGGAGTTTGAGACCAGCCTGGCCAACATGGCAAAACCTCATCTCTACTAAAAATACAAAAATTAGCCGGGCATGGTGGTGCATGCCTGTAATCCCAACTACTCGGGAGGCTGAGGCAGAAGAATCATTTGAACCTGAAAGACGGAGGTTGCAGTGAGCTGAGATCGAATGGCTGCACTCCAGCCTGGGCGACAGAGCGAGACCCTACCTCAAAAAATCAAAAATAAAAATAAAAAATGAACAGTGCCCAACCCCCTGAAAGCATTCCACATAACTGAAACATCACTGTTAGGTGATTACTAGCATGACGACCCCTCGCCCCTTGGCCAAACTGAGTTCTCTTCTCTTACAAAAACTTCTCCATATGAAGTCACTGATTCCATTTGACCCTTTAGCCCTCACCCTGGCATTCAAGGGCATGGACAGCTCAACCCCACGCTCTGGCCAGGCTGACCTCTTCATTCCCTTCTCTGGCGTAAAGGGGCTTCTTGCCACCCCAACCACCTGCCCCTACCCCCTGCCCACTTTTGTCACCCCGTACTGTGTTGAAGCTCCCAAGAGAGATTGCTGCAGCCATCACTGTCCACTCTGTTCAGTGAGGTCAACTCGGCCCAGCTGGGGGTATTCACATCATAGAAACAGTCAGTCAGATTTGGTGTGTGTGTGTTTTATTTTGCTTTTTCAGAGAGCCAGTTGTTAAATATTAGCCAACCCCCCTTGATGCTGTTCCTTCTACCTGAAACACCTCCCCACTGCCAGTGAGCTCTGGAGACAAAAGGACCTGGGTCTGCATTTCCCAAAGGCAAGAATCTGGTGTCACCTGCATGTTATTTGCCACATCTGAGCACCGCTGCCTGTCGCATTATTTACCTAGCAGTTTTGCTCCTGTCAATGCACTTTTTAAAAAGTACATGTACCATATCACCTACAATTGCCATGTGTGCCACTATTTTGCAAGCGCCGCAGGCAAGAGTAAATGTGGACGCCTTAGCTTGGCACTCAGAGCCTCCTCCATCGGAATCTTTCCTCTTCTTGCACAACCCCTCCATGCCCAGGCCTCACCCACTGTATTTGCCATCAGAGAACATACCTCGAATGGTCTCACCTCTGTGGCCTTGTACAAGCTCCTCTCTCTACCTGGAAACCTTCATTTGTCAAGCTGCTACTGCCTTCAAGATCTTCCTGGTCAGAATCTCCTGCTGTCCTCTTCTGCCACCTGCAGCAATGTGAGCTCTCACTGGCTGGCCTTCCTACTCACTGGAGCAGTGCTAACAGCATCAGAGTGCCTGGGACCAGGAGTTAGAAATACGGATTCCTAAGTCTACGCTCAAAGATTTTTTTCTTCTTTTTTTTCCCCAATTTATTTTTATTTTAAAGACGGGGTCTTGCCATGTTGCTCAGGCTGGTCTTGAGCTTCTGGGCTCCAGCAGTCCTCCCATCTTAGCCTCCCAAAATGCTGGGATTACAGGCACGGCACCCAGCCCCAAAGATTTTGATTTAGTAGGTCTAGGGTGATGATCTTTGCATCACAAGACAGAGAGATGAATATTGTTCTCTGTAAAATAAGTAAATAAAAAAATTAAAATGTGTTTTTATAAAATATATTTGAAAGAGTTGTAGAAGGACACACTCCAGACTGTCAGCATCAGTCGCCTTTGGCAGGGAGGGATACACAAAAGTAAAAAGGATAGCAGGGCAGGGGAAAAGAATTCAAAAGCCCTCCATGAAACATTTCATGCACAATGAAGTCATACAGTGTGTACTTTTATATCAGAATGAACCACAGCAGGCCTTATGGAAAGACAGCCTCCAAAGATGTATCTGCCGTTATCTCTAGGTGGTGAAATGTGGGTGATTTTTACTTTCCTGTTTATTCCTTTCTGCATTATTTCACTTTTTATTTTTTATTTTATGTTATTTATTTATTTTTGAGACATAGTCTTGCTCTGTCACCTAGACTGGATGGAGTGCAGTGGTTGGATCTCGGCTCACTGTAACCTCCGCCTCCTGGGTTCAAGTGAATCTCCTGCCACAGCCTTCCAGGTAGCTGGGATTACAGGTGCCCGCCACTACACCCAGATGATTTTTGTATTTTTAGTAGAGACAGGGTTTCACCATGTTGGCCAGGCTGGCCTTGAACTCCTGACCTTAGGTATCCACCTACCTCAGCCTCCCAATATTTTTTATTTTATCTTTTTTTGAGACAGAGGCTTATTCTGTTGCCAAAGCTGGAGTGAGGTGGGATAATCACAGCTTACTGCAGTCCTGACCTCCTGGGCTCAAGTGATCCTCCCACCTCAGCCTCCTGAGCAGCTGGGACGACAGACATGTGCCACCATGCCCAGCTTTTTTTTTTTTTTTTTTTTTTTTTTTTTAATAGAGATGGGGGTTTCTCACCATGTTGCCCATGCTGGTCTTGAGCTTCTGGGCTCAGGTCATGCCCCAGAAATGCTTGCCCAACAGACTCAATCCACAATTTCTGAATGCATTTCTCATGATTTGCTGAAGGCGTCTCATCAATCCAATTAGATTGTAAACTCCAGGAATGTAGGGACCACGCTGACCTTCCTATCACCCTCCTCGCCCCTGCCCAGCTCTGGTCTGGGCACACAGTGACCCTCAAGGGCAGCACCAAGACTTGAGGCAAGAAAAACACCTGTAGAAGGAAAAGGCTGGAGCCTGGTAGCACTTCCGTCTGCTTTCCTGCTGTCCTCTTCAACAGCAAAGGACACGCTAGTTCCATGCAGCAGAAGTTTCCAAACATGTTAGCTTAAGAATTTCGAGAATTCTTAAGAATTGCAAAAAATAAATAAATAAAGCAAAATAAATAAATAAATAAATAAATTCCCAGAGTCACAGGGTTAAAAAAAAAATCAGATTCCACAGCCCCACCCTTGCTCCTGAGTCAGACTCCCCAGCCAAAGCGCCAGAGAATCTTGTCTTTGAACAAACACTTCAGGCAGTTTTCCCAGGATAAAGCAAGTTTCAGAAACTGTCTCACACAGCGACTTGGGTATCTCAGATGTGGCTCTTGTCCTCGAGATGTTTACAAAAGAAAAGAAGAAACCTGGTTCCAACAAGCAAAAGCCCAGAGAGACCTCAAATACAAAGATGCAAACAAGATTAGTAGAGAAATAAATTAGCTGGGACTTTGTCCTTCAGTCGCAGGGCTGGCGGTTGGAAGGTCTGCGCTAGACATACCGGCTCTCTGACCTTGAACAAATCCCGTCTCCACTCTGGGCCTCCGTTTCCGCATCTGTAGTGGGGATACGTGGGCCTCACCCACAGCGTTGTTGTGAGAATTCGACAAAGTAAAATGCAGCTGTGAATATAGCAAGCTGGCATTTGATTAAATGTGAGTTTCATACTGAGAAAAATAGCTAATGTTCCTGAGCACTTACTGCCCAGCCCCGTGCTAAGTGCCTTACGTTCACTTGCTCCTTTAACTCCCACAAAAACCCTATGAGGCCGGGCGCGGTGGCTCACGTCTATAATCCCAGCACTTTGGGAGGCTGAGGTGGGAGGATCATGAGGTCGGGAGTTCAAGACCAGCCTGGCCAACATGGTGAAACCCTGTCTCTACTAAAAATGCAAAAATTAGCTGGGTGTGGCAGCACATGCCTGTAATCCCAGCTACTTGGGAGGCTGAGACAGGAGAATTGCTTGAACCCAGGAGGCGAAGGTTGCAGTGAGTCAAGATCATGCCACTGCACTCCAGCCTGGTGACAGAGCCTATGAGGTAGATTCTATTACTATCCCCATTTCACAGATGAGGAAATCAAGGCACAGAAAGGTTAAAAAACATGCTCAGGCCAGGCACGGTGGGTCACCCCTGTAATACCAGCACTTTGGGGAGGTTGAGGCTGGAGGATCGCTTGAGGCCAGGAGTTTGAGACCAGCCTGGGCAACATAGCAAGACACTGTTTCTACAAAAAAAAAATTTGTTTAAAGCTAAGTGCAGTGGCTCACACCTATAATCCCAACACTTTGAGAGGCTGAGGCAAGTGAACTCTTAGGCCCAGGAATTCAAGACCAAACTGGGCAACATAGTGAGACCCTATCTCTTAAAAAAAGAAAATCAGCTAGGTGTGGCGGTGCATGCCTGTGATCCCAACTACTCAGGAGGCTGAAAGGGGAGGATTGCTTGAGCCCAGGAGTTTGAGGTTGCAGTGAGCTATGAGTGTGCCATTGCACTCCAGCCTGCGTGACAGAGAAAGGTGTGTCTCATAAATAAATAAATAAATAAGTACCCAAGAGCTGGGATTAGAGCCCAGGAAACCTACCCTGTAGCGCCAAGAGGAAATAGCCTCATGGGAGCAAAACCACAATTTGTTTAGGACTCATGGAAATTACATATTGGCTTCTTTGGGAAAAGTGACCCATTCAGCTGAGCAGGACCCAAAACAGCAAAAGGGCCAAGTTCAGCCTGCCTGTCCTAGGCGTGGCCCCCCCGGGATTCCTAGTCCTGCCAGTTTTCCCAGATTGGGCAACACACATCTGAATCCCTGGGACCAGGAAGTGCCAATGCCTGGGTCTTGCTAAAGCCACTTATTATTGACAGATGTCCCAAGTGTCATTTAGTCACCGCCTCAGTGCAGGACCTCATCCCTCCCAGAAAGCCGCAGCTCCTGGACTCCACCTGCTGAAAACAGGGCTTTTGTGGGAATACGACGGGACAAGAAAAACACGCTGAACCTGGCGTCCGTGGGACCTGATGTGCGAGTCACGTTCATTCACGTCCCTGGCTTGGAGCCTCTTCACTCACAAGTTGTTGATAATGGAAAAAATAAAACAACGTGCGATCGTATTTCTGCACAGATAGATAGAAGAGCCTGGGGCGCTGGTTGTTTC